GTTGATTCGGTGAGGCACTTTCAACGAAGATTAACTGAAAACAACAACTGGTTAAAAAATACCCATTCGAGAGAAAAACAATGAATAAATAAATAAATGAACAGAATTTCTCCACTGTCCATGGGATCTCCTTCCCCCATGATGTGTTGTGCATGGAGCAGGGTTGAATGAGTGAATGAATGAATGGATGAATGAATGAATGACGCATCATGAATGCGGTTCCAGAATTCACCTCACCCTGTTACATACTTACCAATTAACGGAATCGCTTCTGAGGTTTGCGGAAGCTTGTCAGCTACCAGTTGTAAAAACATGGTGAGTGAAAGAAGTATGGTGACTCCTGCTCGGTATTTTGTGAACCGCCACGGATAGAAGGAGAACCGCGGATGTGGGGTGGGATATGGAGTGTGTGGCAGGGAGTAGAATATGTGAAATAGACAGAGAAATGTGGAACACATGCGGTTAGAAACAAGCACGGAAGCGGAACAAGGAGGAGGTCAAACGTTGTGGAAGTCACCAATGGGGAATTGGTAATCAGAGCATGAAATGTGTCAGTTGCAGTCAAACATGACGATCAAACCGCAATATGTGGACTCATTATTATGGCGATTACAATATCCAGTTAGTCAATTACCACGACATTCATTATAGCCTAAAATTGTTTTTTTCGGTTACTTTTAGTTTGATTTGACTTCATCTAATAACACCAGTGATCTTTTTATTTCTTTTTGAGCAAAATAGGCCTTCTCGTCGTGAAGACTTAAATAATGCATGAGCTAACTTAAAAAAATCGATAAAACGTATGAAATGAACTGCGGTCGATAAGAAATTTCAAATCTGAAAAGCCATAACAACAAAAACAACAAACGAACTCAATGGTGCGTTTCACACCGTGGTCTATAGTGTACACTTCATAACAGATACGCACACGCACACTCTCGAATTACATTGCACTACTCATAAACGGTGAGTAGATTGCCACTTGTTGGAGAAACTTACCGAGAGAGATTTTCTCACCCGCATCAGGCGGGAGCATGAATACCATCAGAGACATGCCAGATATGAGTAGACAAGGCACAATGAGATTGAACACATAGTACAAAGCCCGACGTTGCAACTGGATGGTCATTTTGATATCGATAAAATCGAACTGACAACAGTCGTATCGTTGAGCGAACCGTACCACATAGGCACCTACCGAGCGAGCGAGAGAGAGAGATACAGGTAATGCGGTATTGCAAGTTGACATTAGAAAAATGATTTGAGTTTGCTAAACCATAACGATTCCGAGAGTAAATCGGGAGAAAACGAAATGTTTCACATATATTAAATAATCTGGTTATAATATCTTGAGTGATTTCAGTTGATAAGTGTTGTTTTAACATAAATCCGGGGAATCAACGGCATTTTGAAAATGGTCCCTTGAGGAGAGGAATCCGCATGTGCGAAAGGTGAGTGTTATCAAAATGATTTTTTCGTCTCCTGTTCGCCGAGCTTGGCACCTTGTTTACAAACGTTCAAGCATCACCAGTCGAGATGAAATCATCAGTGCTTGTAGAGTGGCGGTGTTCTGCCTGTACTCGTTCGTCTATATATGTGTTCTTCTCCACCGACTATTTTTGTCCCTTGTTCTCACTGTGTTCGACTCAGCTCGCCGTCGAACCGGTGCGCGGGGAGGTGGTTGTTCTTCCGTCCTGATTGTGGTTTAAGTCCGTTTTCACGCCACGGCGTGACTCATTTTTGTTGCACCATTTGGACCTTGAGTTGCATTGGCGTGTACACGTGATCCAGCTCAATATGTCTGTTTATTGAGTTGATTGAAGACTTTCAAACCTCGAGAAATTCTCTGGCGTGTCTTGACCGGGCTTGGTCAATTATTCTCGCTGATTAGAAGACCAAAACCGATGTCCATCTTGATCTTCGTAGAGAGAAAGCAGCGATAGTGGGTCATGTTTCCTGATTGCCGATTGGTGTTCACGGATCCTTGTTGTCGGTAGAGAAGAGCATATATATATATATATATATATATATATGAACGAGTACGAGTAGAACACTGCCACTTCACAAGCACCGATGATATATATCATCTCGGCTGGTGATGAAACGTTTGCAAACAAATTGCCACTGGCTTGGCGAAGTGGATTTCAGTTCACACGAGCTACGAGAATAACCGATTTTAAGTACTCAGTCAAAATGAATTCTTTTTGCATTTAACAGATAAATAGATACAATAACAGAATCATGTTTTGGTAAAAAAAAAACAAATCGGAAAATGATATGGGGATGAGTTAAGTGTTTTCAGGTCGTCAAAATCTCATTTTGCATTCACGATGAACAAAAGCACCAAAAGACCTAGAACCATCTAAAGGTAATTTTTAAAATCCCACATCTCTATAGAAGGAATTAGTCGTGTATAGAGCAAATAAAGTGTGAACTGAAAAGCTAGGAAACACCTTACAGCAAATGTATATGCAAGAAGTAGTCAGGTTGTGAAAGCCTCCAACCGAGTCATAACCGCCGGGAGGCTATTGCTGAGATGAGCGTGGCGTGATGCCTGCAACAAGCTCCCAAAGTTGGGTTGTGCTATATCGTGTAAATGGAAAATGACAAACGGCCTGATCAGCTGCCCACCGGTAGCCAAGTGGGTAAAATGCTTACGTACTACGTGTTTGGTCCCGGGCTAACGATCCCCAGTTGGATTGATAGATTCGCTCCCCACTGAACTGATGAGACCCAACCAGATCGAAACGGCTATCCAGTAGTGCTTCCCAACTGTTCAGTTCACGCTTTATTTGCTCCTATACACGATAAAATTTCCGTCTAGTAAATTGAACCGAATCCTTCGGTATCCACATAGAAATAGGAAAACCACCGGGAAATGGTTCGTGGTGGTGAATTTAATAGGGTCCCGATAAGATGTTCATGCTTCTTGTCAGTCAGTTGAAAGCCGGAGTAAGGTTTCAAATCTTGAACCTTCAAAGCTTGAGCGCACAACTTGTCACATTTTCTACGAATGATGTGGCAAAACATCTAATCTACTCAGACCATCTGATCATTTGATCACACTCACTACTGTTCTGTGGTGCAGTCACAATTTGGCTACAAAATCGAGAAAACGCAGACAGGTTAAATATTTGCTGGTATACACTGGCTCGAGGCACAAGGGAGGGTGTGAGGGCCAATGGGTGAGTTTTGGTACAAACGGTTGTTTAACTTCAACCATCAGCTTGATCGCAGCTGGTGGTGGCGTTGAGGACGAGATCACATCACTAACAGCGAAAGCTAGAGCAGCTTTCGCCAACCTACGACACCTGTGGCGCCGCCATGACATCCGACTGCCCCTTAAGGGAACAGTGCACATCACCCCAGTTCGTAGTGTTCTGCTTTATAGGCGCGAGACCTGGACCCTCCGAGCGGAGGATGCTAATAGACTTTCTGTATTCGACCATCGATGTCTCTGAAGCATTGCTCGTGTCTGATGGGAACATCGAGTAAGCAATGACGAGGTCCGTCGTCGTGTGTTGTGTGTGGACAGTCGTTCTCTAACAGAATTAATTGCTCTATACCGCCTCCGATGGCTTGCTCACGTATTGCGTATGCCTGCCCATCGACTACCTTTCCTTGCTCTCTTTGCACATGCCGGGCAAAGCTGGAAGAAGCGCCGTGACGGTTCGACTATGGCACGGCGTAGATATATGAAGAAGCTGGCTTTGCTTGGTGCAGCCCGCCTTCCAGGTTGGGGCCTAAGGGATGAGGATTGTCATTGGTTAGAGACGCTAAGAGATATGACCCAGAATAGAAGTCAGTGGCGCGAATGCTGCACGGTTTACCTGTTGAAGTCCCGTGTCTCATAAAAAAGCGATAAACTGACACACAAAAATTTCACAAAGTGTACGGTTAAAAAAATTATTATCCCATTTACTTCAGTATAAATGCTGTTGCCCGAACGAACCGACAAGTGTTTCACAGGGACCTGTTGCTTCAGTTTCGATTAGACCTGTATTTGCAATTTTCCATTTTAACAGTTTCGTCTTTTTTCCTATGCTCTGTATCCCAAATCCCTCCCGTTATTGTTATTTTTATTATTGTTGTGACGTTGGCACCATGCCTGTTCTCAAGCCGGTATTAAATATATATGTATATCAGGATGGGGAACGAGTTGCAGTAATCATTTGCGCGCATTGTAACGCTCTTGAAACCGCACTAGTTCATTGCAGCTGTGATTTGATCGTTTGTCTTACTGGGCCTTTCTTGTTGCTTGTTCATTGCCGAGTGGTTGTAAAACTGTTGCCCCTTGTATTTTCTAACGGACACACACTTTGTTCACGTTTGATTGACTTATGTGTGATAATCCTGGAGGACATCCTGCTGCCTACTCAAGGTGAAGTGTACTACAGTATGAAATGTGGGGAGCCGCAAACAAAAACTTCTAGGTATAGCGCACATTTAATCTAAGTGGGATTTCAGGATTTCGATAGTAGCGGAAGCCAATGCGTAACCCTTCGGTGTGAGCATCTCAGAGTTCAATTTGCCACTATCATCTGTGCGCCATTTTGGATTGAAAACGAATTTCTAAGATTATGTGGTGAGTCATCCCTCCGGTTTGACGCCAGTCAAGCACCTGCGCGTTCCAGTTCATGGACATTGGACTATGGATCAACAGCATCGATCGGTCAACAGATTGACAGTTCAAACAGAAGCCGTGTGACTCGAAGAACAATGACGGCGATTGGCTGGAGCTCGTTTGACCAATGATATTTCTGTTCACATGTTATTTAATCCCACTGATTTTTCTCAATAAGTGAACTGCTACTTTTATGACCTTCTTCCTGCGTCTAAGTGACAAAAGATTCTGGCTTACGATTGCTAGTGCGATTCAGTGTTTCCATTGCGACCATGGTTCGTAATCCGTAATCCGTACCCACTTCGATTACCACAGAGTAGCTTTATGTACCTTACGTGATCGTTTGACAACAAAAATATCATCATTTAAAAGGTTCGATCTCTTGCCGGGATGAATCCCTCCGTTTTCTTTCACTAAGTTGTGTAATTTGGAGACAGATTTAACAACTTGTTGCACCCGCTAACTGTTCACTTGGACTATTGACGAATTTTTATCGGCAAACCAATGGATAGCGCTCTTCGTTAGAAAAGATCCATTTGATTTTAGATGTCAGGTTTTGAAATTTAATTTAATGGACTTGAATCGAAATGTTGTTCTCAAAACTTCCTTTGATGGAGGTGTGGTAAATATATTTGAAAAGTATGTTAGCTCTCTAAAAGAGATGTGATGGCGACACATTCTAGTTCCTCTTTTGTCAACACCAAGTGCAATGTTGATGGTGGTTGCCTCGTCCACAACTCTCAGACTCCCTTCCATGATTGGGCACTGTGGATGTAAATAAGTTGACCGTTAATTCGACGAGTTACACGAAGAACCCGTTAAACATAGTTGTCCGTGCCAGTTACACTTGTATGGCAAGTTTATATTTGGGGATTAGCGCTGCAAATCGATAGCTTGCTTCATGAATAGCTAAATTGCTGGTTGTAGTTTTACCTCTTCGTTTCCTAAACACCGGGAATCTGATCAAGACATACTAACATTTGTCTCTCTCTCTCTCTCAAGAGAGAGGGAGTAACCTGTTTTACCTGAGTCTACAACCCATGGGGTAATTCACGTTCCATTGTTACTTCAAATGTCGTTGTACACACACACACACACACAACAGTCTCTGCCTTAAATCTTGCTTGTTTTATCTAGTACAAAAAGTTTAACAACGCAATGAAGTTTCATCACAATCGTCGGTTGGGAGAAAAGCGGGAACAATCGAGTGCTATCGAATGACCTGAGGGAATTGACACATTGTGTCTACATTGTTTCATCGAATAGCTTTGCCGGGGCTAGTCAGCCCGGAAAACTTGTAAATACTCATTAACTAGCCGGGATCGATTTCAGCCCGCGTGTGTCGAACTTTTAAACAAGACAGGTTATTTTAAGGTGAAGTCACGTATACTAATTATATGGTGTGAATTTCGGATATACACGCACGGGGGTCAGTGAAACCGATTTCTTTTCAAATCAATTTACACTCTCATCTTGGTTGATGATTCAACGCACGACTGGCGGTAACCGTCAATTGGTTTTGTTTACCATATCAAATTTACCACCCCCCCCCACCCTCATTTCCCACTCTCTATCAGTTGTTCAAAGCTATCTATCACCCTTTCCTCCACACACGCAGCCACACAGTTTGAACTAATAATAATAATAATAATAATAATAATAATAATAACACGTGATCCAGTCGACCGCGAGAAAAAACAACATATTTCCGCTTATTCGGGCAGCTGAGTGATTCTCAGTCAGAGATGAATAGGCCTCAAACTTTCGAGGAGAACACTTACCATCCAAATGAAATTCACCATTGTTCGAATATTCGGACAGATCAACCTCTCCACGTGTGGAACAGTTCTCCGACGTATCATTTGCTTCACATGTGATTCGGAAATCGATCTGATCCCCGTTGTATGTCCAACTGCCAAATTTCAGTGTACAGTTCTTTATCCGACCGTGTATGTGTGTGTGTGTTCAACGAGAAATGGAAGACAAAACATTGGGATTGAAAGGATGATCATTTTCGTATCACTGAGAGATATGAGAAAGTCATCTGAGTTCAATCCATTGATGAAAAGAACAACAACGGGTAAACTGAGAAGGAAATATCCTATCAACGGCCACCAGGAGCTAATTCTTAGACCAACTGACGCGGACATACTGCTTCGAAGATAGAACTGATCCTAGATTCAGTCGTGAGAGAAGCTATGAAATTGGAGGTTTTCTTTGTCACTATTTATTATTATTATTATTATTGTGAAAAATCCCGATGATTCAGCAAATAATTCCCGTTCAAATGACTTCAATGATTGTCACATTTCATCTGCTCATTATTTTAAATGATTCTTCCCATCCGTTTTGTTTCCTTATATATCCACATACAATGATATTTTACTTACATCTATCTGCTAAACATGACCGTTGTGGCACTCTCTATGGGACTTCAATGCTGCAATATATATGTGCCGATATCCAGCCAGTCCTCTGGCGCATTCTGAAACAAACTTCCACGTGAGGTAACATACACTCGCTTACTTTGTTCATGCATCACATACCGACCGTTCTCAGTAAGATACGAAGACTATATGTTCTTACGTAGCAAGATTAAGGTTTCTAGAATTCCCGCCCCCCTCCCACACACACACTGTTTTTTTACTTGGTTAACCAATGTATCTTCTCGAATTTCCCGTATCGCTTCTCGGTCATTTTCACCAGTAGTTGAGAGTTAAAGCTCACAGCATTTTCAGCCGTTGTATATGACTGTGATGTGTCAGTTCTCAGAAATAACGCCAGACAAGCGCTTACGCGTCCCAGTTTCCGTACATTGCGCCATGGGCCAACAGTGTCGATCATCCAAAAACCAGCCATTTCAAACAGAAGCCAAGCGACTCGAAAAACAAGGACGGTGATTGGTTTATATCCGTTTGACCAATGATATTTCCGTTCACCTATTACTTAATCCAATTGATTGCTCTCGGTAAACCAACCGCTACTTCTGTGATCTTTCTCCTCAGTCTGGGCGATTGGAGATTTCAAGGTACGATTACTAGTGCGATTCTGACGTTTCAGTTGCGACCGTGAATCGTGATGTGTAATCCTTACTCAGTTCGATTACCACAATGACTTAGAACTGAAATTCGTAGATTCTATTGTGACCTGCGAGAACCACTATCTTTAGATCTATTGACCGACACCACGGATCCACTTGACCCCAGTCAATCCCTTTTTTAACCCGTTCCATTGCTTGAAAGATGATAGGTTATACAATTGACACACTCTGCTGCGAAATCCACCATCGGGTGAATGAAGGCATTCTTGACTTGAAGTGATGAGTGAGATTTGAATGGTATACACAGTTTAGAGGGCTTGTAGTTGTAGACTAGGTATTTGATTTCAGACTGAGTTGAGAAAATCATTTTGTGCCAGAAGGGTTTTTGATCATGGGACGCAAAAAATGCTCAGCTCCGGAGAATGTTCAACCAAATGTATCCACGAGTTTTTCTTGCACCGTTCCGTTTCCACAGTTCTACCCCAGGGGGATCATATTGGAAAAATGCCATTTGTTTAGTTTGGTTTCCCATTTTCACCGCAACCACTGATACCGGGATACAAAGCGTGATTTTGCGGGATTGTCCCTTGAGAGAATTGAACAGTAGTATTTGTTTCCAGGAAACTGAAACATTTGGATCCCGTAATGAATTTGGACAGGCAAGTCAGAAGACAAACACGGTTCGAGAGAGGAATCCCTTTCGTATACTCTCTCATCGGTCGCGTACGTACAACATCGAACAAGATAGACAAATGAAGCGAATTAAGAAATCTAGTTAGTATGAACCATGTGGGTGTGTGTGTGTGATGCACGTGATTGGTTACAGCCAGGGAAGGCCAAGGGTAAAGGTCATACGTGTTTGGATACACAGTGTGGATTTGTTGTGAGCGCTCGCTAATGCCTCGAGTAGTCGGTGTTTGTCTCGATGACGTAACAAAACCGAGAATGCGTTCGCAATGTCTACCCCCCCCCTTATGGCCGCTTTCAACCAAGTGACGTGCGATGGCCGAAGTCGGTCTGCGTGATGCGGTCAGTGTGTGATGTGGGCTGAGTCATAGAGTCACGCACATACGTGGAGATGTGTTCAGTCATTCTAGTTCGCAGTGATCGGTCGGTTCTATGCTTGGTTGTAGCTGCAATAGAAGGTGTAAATGCAATGAGAGTTAGACTCGATTGGACGACGATCTTTGAATGGGGCGAGTGGGAGGCGTCGTGTGATCGAATGGAGTCCCAATGTTGCAGCGTAGTAGGTTCTTTGTAACGCGTTCTTGATACGCTGTGTGATAAACTACATTATTGACTCCCCTTTGTATCACAACGAGATGTGGATATTCTTTTTTGGCACTCGAAGGGTAGCGGCTTG